ATATATATATTATTGTTGTTGTTGTTGTTAAGTGTTGTTGAGTCAGTTCCTACACATAGTGACCATGTATAGGGGTTTCTGAGAAGTGGCTGGTGAGCTTGAACTGCCAACCTTGTGGTCCAAACAACTTTAACGTGCCATGCAGGCTAAGTACTGGATGGTTAACAAAGATAGTGCTTCAAACTCAACAGCCACTCCTTAGAAACCCTATGTTGTTGTTAAGTACCATTGAGACAGTTCTAACTTACAGCAACCTTATAAAGAGTTCTCAAGGCTGTAAAAAAATTACAGGAGCAAAATGCCTCATCTTTCTCCCAAAGAATACCTGGTTGTGGTTCACAGTCCAGTTCACAGTCATTATGAGTCAAAACAAACTCAATGACACTTAGCAACAACAACAACAACAAATATATATACATCTATTACTTGTGTCGTACTGCTATGACTTGTGACATGCTGTCATTTTGGATGCTATGCCACGGATGTTATAAATACCAACAGGGTCACCCATGGTGGACAGGTTTCAGATAAGCTTCCAGATGAGGACAGACTAGGAAGAAGGAGTGTCGAACTACTTCCGAATATTTAGTCACTGAAAACCTTATGAATAGAAGAGAAACACTGTCAGATATAGTGTTGGAAAATCAGGTTGGAAGCAATCAAAATGTGACTGGGGAAGAACTGTCTCCTCAAAGCACAGTTGACTGTGATGATGAGAATGGAGTAAGGCCTATGGGAATAAAGCCCGTGGGACCTTAATTTTCTGATGGGGCACAACTCAAAATGAAAAGAAACAGTTGTAAATATCCACTAATAATCAGAACATGGAATGCACGAATTATGAATCTGGGAAAATTGGAAGCTGTCAAAATGAAATGGAACCCATAAACATCAATATCTTAGATATTAGTTAGCTGAAACAGACTGATATTGGCCATTTTGAATCTGACAACCACATATGTTGATATGACAACAACATTCCTATGCCAAGAATGGCAAATTGAAGAGGAATGGAGTTACATTCATAGTTAAAAAGAAGATATCCAGATCAGTCATGAGGTACAATGCTTTCTGTGATAGGAAATATCCATGCACCTATGGGAAGACAAGTTAATACCATTATTATTCAAATATATGCACCAACCACTAAAGCCAGTGAAGATGAAATAGAAGAATTCTACCAATTTCTTCAATCTGAAATTGTTAAAACATGCAATCAAGATGTATTGCTCATTACTGGTGATTGGAATGCAAAGGTTGGGAGCAAAGAGGAAGAATGAGAAGTTGGAAAATACGGCCCAGGTGATAGAAATGATGTTTGAGATCACATGATAGAATTCTGCAAAATCAATGATTTATCGCTTTCAAATACTTTCTTTAGACTGCATAAGGGATGCTTATACACATGGACTTCACTAGATGGAATATGCAGAAATCAACTTGACTACATCTGTGGAAAGAGACGACAGAAAAGCACCATAAAATCAGTCAAAACAA